ATAGGCTAACATACACTACCAGTCAAAAGATTTTGAACAGTAAGATTTTTAATGTTTTCGAGAATTCTCTTCTGCTCACCAAGCCTGCATTTATTTGATCCAAAATACAGCAAACGCAATAATATTGTGAAATATTTTTACTATTTAAAATAACTGTTTTCTATTTGAATATATTTTTTTATGTAATTTCATTCCGGTGATCAAAAAAGCTAAATTTTCAGCATCATTACCCCAATCTTCAGTATCACTTGATCCTTCAGAAATCATTCTAATATGTTGATTTTTTTTGCTGTTCAAGAAACATTATTATTATTATTATTATCATCATCATCATCATCAATATTTAAAACAGTTGAGTAAATTTTTTTTCAGGATTCTTTAATGAATAGAAAGATCCAAAGATCAGCATTTATCTGAAATAAAAAGCCTTTGTAACATTATACACTGAACCATTCAAAAGCTTGGATCAGTATTTTTTATAAATTTTTTTGATTTAGCAAGGATGCTTTAAATTGATCAGAAATGATGATAAAACAATTATAATTTTACAAAAGATTTCAATTTCAGATAAATGTTGTTCTTCTGAATCAAAGAATTATCAAAGAATCCTGAAAAAAATTATCATTCTCATTTACTCAGCTGTTTTAAAAATAATAATAATAATAATAAATGTTTTTGAGCAGCAAATCAGAATATTAGAATAATTTTCTCAAGTTATTTTAAATAGTAAAAATATTTCAAAATGTTTCTGTTTTTGCTGTACTTTGGATCAAATAAATGCGGACTTGGTGAGCAGAAAACAAAAATCTTACTGTTCAAAAACTTTTGACTGGTAGTGTAGTTCATATGCTTGTAATTCTCATACTTGCTACAGTGTGCACATTAACCCTTTAAAGAAGAACTGTAACCACTATATGTAATTAAACACTAATATTTGGTTTGGTCAAGCCGATATATTTTAAACAAATTATTCTTATTTTTTTGCATTTGATTTCCCCAGTCTTGAATATTATACTGTGCACAGGGATCAGGTGGTTCATTATGGTCCAAAAATTCTTGCCCAAGTTGAAACACAGAATACATCAAGCATTTCAATTTGAGTATTGGGAAGCAGACGGTCATCTGTCTTGATCGTGCGGGATGCCAATCTGATCATCTGCATGAACAGGCAAAAATTCTGCCCTCCAGCAGAGATGGAAGCAAGTCTGGGAGAATGAATGAGTTTAGTATATGCATAAGCCATGTTCTTGGGGAAGGGATTTGTTTATTCATTTTATGTGTACTTAAATTTGGGCCTTTAACCACATGAATGAAATCTTAATGTTCGGATTGTTTGAGGAAACAGCAAGGGCTCTTTGTCTTTTTGCTATGGCATAGATGCGACTTTCAGTCATTTTTAGACATAATACTACATAGACAGCTACATATAAGCCATATATAAACTAATTTCCTTGAAGAATTCACAGAACTGCTGTTTATTTGAGCATCTCAACCAGCACAGTAAAGCAACATTGGCTCACCAATGTTATGGGTTTGGGAACGAGACTAACCATTTAGGGAAACCTGCTGGAAAAGAGTTATTTTTGCAATTCCGTTTAGAAATTACACACTTCAGGTTTAAGAGAGTCTTTTCAATACAATTAATACAATTCATACAACAAATACAATAAAAAAAACTCATACTTGAGATTCAGCATATGGCCATTTAATTTTGATAGATTCTATATACAACTATTATTTTATTGAATTTCAAGAACCAATCATCCATTTCCAAAGCAAATTACATATTAATTTTAATATTATTAATTTAAAGCAACCATTTTTTGCTCATTTAATTTCCTTCCATTAAAAAATCCTGAAGGAAGGGTTGTAATGGTTTTTGTGGTAACAATAAATTATCTGTAGGAAGTATATGACCTGAAAAAATTAAACTTTTTGCTGCCTGTGAAGTCTGAGAATGAGCCGTTTGATTTGCCTCCTTTTCCTCTTCACTGTCCTCTGTGAAAACCAGCCATTCAGGTCCATGCTGCGATGGAAAGATTGTGGTGGGTCCTACAACAATGAATAAGAACAGAATTTTTAAATACAGAAAAAAACTAAACTTTAGAATGAAACAGATGCTCATCAAAATACCTTGAGGAAGCTCTCCACATACTGCAGAAGGAAGATGCCACAGTCTGTATAGTTATCCTGCTTTGGGACGATGGGACTCCATCCATCCATCACTCCATTTCCAAAACTCTGTTCAGAGCCCATTTTGACCTTCCATTCCTCTTGTAAGTACCTTGGATTTACAGAAAATAAGTGGCTAGAATGGCAATGTTGTCTTGCATTCATTAATCATATTTTATTTTATTCATTCATTTATGGTGAAGTATTACACTGTTTGGTGTAATCACACTGTTTCTATATGCCACCCAGGTAAATATAACTAGCCGGCTAACATGCATGAGGTTTGCTCGGTTTGGAAGCAGATTTCCATTTGTGTGTCAGCAATGAGTCCTTGGAATTGATTTAAACAAATGATTCTTTCTAGCATACAAGCGTCTCCAGTGAGATTTGAATGTGGTCCAGTGAAGGACTCGGCTTTCTGAGCTGCCAAACTCCCCCTTGAGGAAGACAGCATTTTGTCTCATAGGAAACAGTCGTTAATTGGTGACGTTTGCTGCCTAATGCAGGATACAGAAGCACAAGTGAAAATGTGTGCTCGCTATTAATGCACAGGTGCAAAAATAATCAAGCACTTGAAACAAAAGAAGATAATCACTCTTGGAGTATCTGCACCACTGATGATCTTCCACTGCAGGTGAGGGAGTCCATGATGAGGATGCACGGCCTGCAAACACAGACAGTCCATCAAATGACTGGGTACAATGGAGCATTTCATCGACTTGTTACTGCCATCTAGTGACAGGTAAAAGGAAAACATGGAAAACTCACCGTTTAGAGACATTACTGGCACTGTTAAGGACAGATCTGTTCTTGACCGTCTGTAATTCAGAAATAGAAAAAGTTAGTTCACTCTCTACTGATTTGTTACTGAATTAGAAAGTGATTAGCTCACATTACCTGATCATCATCTTCAGCCTCGTCATCTGAAAGGAAGCAGAAGCTCTGGTCTAATTTGTCTATGGGAGAAAAATATACATAAGGCATACTTATCACAGAAAATAATTTATACTCATTTCTCACTTAAAAACAAAACACTTTCATTCCATTTTTTTTTCATCAAACTGATCAAAATTGACAGTGAAGACATTTATAATGTTACAAAAGATTTCAAATAAGTGCGGTTATAACTTTTTTTTAGGATTTCTTAAAGTATCATGGTTCCCACCAAAATATTTAAAAGCACAATGTAAGATTTTTTTATTAAAATATCCAAAAACCACTAGAACGGTGTTATATATTTTGCCGACTTGTGTACTTACATTATCTCAAATGTTTCGAAGAATGTTTAAAGGGGTCATATGATGTTGCTAAAAAGAACATTATTTTGTGTATTTGGTGTAATGAAATGCGTTTATGCGGTTTAAGGTTAAAAAAAACAAATTTTCCACATATTGTACATTGTTGTTTCTCCTCTATGCCCCGACTTTCTGAAAAGCGTTGATTTTTACAAAGCTCATCGGTCTGAAAAGCGAGGTGTGCTCTGATTGGCCAGCTATCCAGTGCGTTGTGATTGGCCGAATACCTCAAGCGTGTGATGGAAATGTTATGACCCTTGCCATACTGTGATGCCCTGTCCGGCCGGAGCGACGAGACAAAAACATTAAATCCCATTATAAACAAGGCATTTGTTGCATCCAGTGGGGACATAATTACGGATTATAATGACTTATACTGTCTTTTTACGCGTTACAGTCTGAGCCAGAACAGCCGGCATTGTAGTCTACTCTACCATGATCAGGAAACGATCCTCCATAAAATGCACTGCACACATCTGAATATTTGGGTTGAACTGTTCTGGAACAGTGTTGTAAATACAACTTAACCACTGATTTTTAGTCGTGTCCTCTTTTGGAAGGCCAAACAAAGTAGTTTCGCTTTCACAACGTAACACAGCATCACACATGGCAAGCGAAAGCCCCGGCTTAGCGTGAGCTGAAGCCAGGCAAGAGTGAGCTGAGGCGGCGGGGTCGAGAACGGCGCGATTCGACAAAGGAGTGACAAGCACATGTGACAACCCGTCCACGGTGCTTCGTCCACGGTGAAAGCTGATCCGGCGATCCACAGCGCGGAGTTGATGTATTTCCTCAGCGACCAGCACAGATCAGCTCTAGGCATAACGAAGCGGATATCGTCCTCTTTTGGAAGGCCAAACAAAGTAGTTTCACTTTCACAACGAAACACACAGCGC